TAAAAGGAGGAAAATTTTAGCACCTGCTACAACACAGATGAACCTTGAGGACATTATGCAAAGTAAATAAGCCAGTCACAAAGAGACAAATACTGCATGATTCACTTATATGGAATCATAGAGACAGAAGTGGTTGCCAGGGCCTAGGACACGGAGAAATGGGGAGTTGTTGTTTAATGGGTTCTAGCATTTCGGTTTTACAAGATGAAAAAGTTCCGGAGATTGGTTGCACAACAATGTGAATATGATTCACAATGCTGAACTTACACTTAAGAATGGTTAAGATGGGGGGGCGCCTGGGTGGCTTAATCGGTTAAGTGTTGGACTCTTGATTTTAGCTTAGGTCATGATCTCAGGGTCGTGAGGTCGAGTCCCACATCCGGCCCCACGTTCAGCGTGGCATCTGCTTGGAGATTCCCTCTGCCCCTTCCCCCACACACTCTCTCTTAAATAAATAAAAATCTTTAAAAAAACTAAAAAGAATGGTTAAGATGGTACCTTTTACGTTATGTGTATATTACAATCAAAAATTAAAAAAAAATTTTAAAAGCAACTATAATTACCATTCTTTGAGACATGAACAAGAATAGGATGCTCTAAAAAAGAAAGAAAAATTGCTCTTTTAGAAATGAAAAGTTATGAGAAAAGATATGAAAAAAAATCTAATGGAAAGGTTGGAAGATAAAGTTGAGGTAATTTCCCAGAAAACAAAACAAACATTTTTAAAAATGGAAAACTGGAAAGAACATTTTGAAAAATGAGAAGACCAGCCCAAGAGGTGCGACATCCGACTAAAAAAGGTCTGCAAAGAAAAAAACAACAACAACAACAACAAAAAAAACAGAAAACAGAATGGAGGGTATTAACACAAAGAAATGTCCCTCAAATTGATTTCCAGATTAAAAGGCTCATTGAGTGCCCAGAGTCAATGCACATCACTATGAAACTTTAGACCTCTGCAAGACCCTTTAAACTTTCAGAGAGAAAAATCAGGTCACAAGCACAGGATCAGGTATCAGAATGTCATTTGACGTTTCAACAGCAAGTGGATCGTGTCCTCAAAATTCCTAGGGAAATTTATTTCCAATCTAAAATTCTATACCCAGCCAAACTCTCTATCAAAGCCACTGGAAAAGAGAAATGCAAAAACAAGGAAAGAGACCAAGGTGGGGGGGAGAGCAGAAGCAAGGGATCCATTAAACAGGATCCAACCCAGGAAACAGGCAAAAGAAACTCCCCAGGATGGTAGCAGAGCTAAGTAGAGCTAAGTCTACAGAGTCACCGGAGAGGATGCCTCCAGGAGGGATGTCTCTGAGAAACACCTAGAACTGAAAGACCACCTGGTGCATTCAACCAGGTTGGACAGTCGGGGGCTGAATTAGTTAATAGGTACAGTACATAAGGAAGTTTTTTTTTTTAATAATGCAATTACCAATTTCTGGAAAAGCGAAACAGTTGTCCAATAAGGTAAATGGAATCATAACACACTTCAAGGCTCAGCTTTGAATATTTACAAGATCATAATAATTAAGCACTGAACACTGAACACTGACAACAAAACGTTTGGACTAATACTGGGAGGAAGGAGGGAAGAAAAACGTGTGTGATGGGGTAGATCAAAAGGCATCAAATCTTCATCTTCCGCAGGAGGTGAGCAATAGATAAAGTTTTAAAAACTAGAGAGTGAATTAGATGTGTTATTTAAAAACATGGAGGCATACAACAATAGTGCCGTCTCAAATGTGTAAAAGAGTGGTTGTGTTTAGAAGTAAGAATTGAGACTGGGGAAGGGTAGAGCAGGAGATTGATCCACTATTAGGCAGCTATTGGACTTTTAAAAATAATACAAGTATCAAAAAAATTAAAATAAAAATAATACAAATATCAATATGATAGAAATAAAAATGAGTGGAAAAAGGACAAAAAAAAAAAATCCAACTGCACACCAGTCCATAAAGCAATGACAGCTGATGCAAAGTTGGGAACTCTTACCAAGGACCTGAGTGAGGGGAATGTGGATAGAAAGGACAGTGAAGCTCTGGGTGCAATTGCGCCCTCTAAAGGACCAAACTTGGCAGAAGGGCAGAAGGTCTGAGACCAAGCCTGGGGGTGTAAGGAGGAGCCCCCCAAGTGAGGCGTGGTTCCGGGGCGGTGGGGAGGGGAAGGTGGGACTCCCTGCCCCAGTGAGGCTAAGTGAGTTGTGAACAAGATAACAAAAGGGCTCACAATGTCAAATGCTGCTTTGAGGTCCAGGGGATTTAACATAAAAGCAGACTATTGCACACTGATCTCACACAGCCCTGGGTGATCCTCCAGAGACGATTTCCCAAAGGCAATGGGAACAGAAGCCATGCTACCAGGACTAGGTGAGCAAGCTTAGGGAGGCAGTGAAGACTCTCGAGGCTGCACACCTACCTGCAGCTCCTTGATCACTCCTTCTCTGGAAGGCAGGAGGCTCAGTGACCAGATTTTAAAAGGCATGCAATCCTGGGGACCTACTTATACGAAAAAATTGTTGTTTATCTGAAATTCAAATTTAACTCTGTGAGTCCTGCATCCGTATATGTGAACCGAGCAACCTCAAGAGGCTTGGAGGTATCTCAGTTTTGCACACTGATACTTCGCTGCTGGCCACTCCCACCAGCACCCTCCCAAGAGGGAAATACAAGGCACCCTCACCCAAGGTGGCGAGTTCCAGAGGGTGGACCCCAAGGCAGGAAATAGCAGCATTTCTCAGTGAGCTACCTTTCAGTCAAAACCATCTCAAGTCTTTTCTATAAAGGGAGTTGGTTGAGTTAATGTCTCCGTTGGCCCAAGAGGCAAATCTAGCCCCAAGGAAAGCACTCAGATGAAGTCTCATTGTGCTTTCAGAGCCTGTTCTCTTGTGGGGAAATGAGGCCACATCTACAGGGTGGGAACAGTGGGAGGCTTCCATGTCCTTTCTGGGTGATTGTTGATCACGAGCACGTATTACTTTTATAATCACTAAAAAGCAATAGACATTTCCATATTGAAAATAAAATGAGGCCACAGTAGACCAGATCATCTGTGAGACCCCCTCCAAAGCTAAGATTCTGCAATTCTAAGTAATTGCTTGTTCTTTATTTGCTTGTCATTTTAGGAGCATTCAGTGATGCAGCCTAGTTGCAGTGGGGTTTGTTTTGTTTTGTTTTGTTTTGTTTGGGGGGGGTGTTTGGGAGGTTTTTTTGTTTGGTTGGTTGGGGTTTTTTTTACTTTTATTCCCCCAAGGACTCTGAACCCAGCCACTCACTACTGGTACCTGCTAACCCCGAATGTTGAACACACAGTCTCCCCACTGCCCCCACTCCCAGAGGTCACTTGGCTTGCCTGGCCGGGCCCAAGCCTCTGAGCTCATTCCTGACCTGGAAGACTCCCCAGATGACCTGTTCTGAAGCCAAGGAAAGAGCCTGGATGTTGGCTGTGTGAGAGCCCAAGGTCGTGAGACTCCTGGGCCCCATCAGAGCCGACCTGGGATTCTACAGAGCCTGTGGCTTAACAAATCCTGAAAGGGGGAGATGCATCCCCCACCCCCAGGGACAACTGTCTCTTTCCGAGTACTCCAGTCCCCCTCCCCAGTTAAAGCCCCCACTGATGGGTCACAGGAGAAGATGGAAAATGCCCATCCAGATGCAGCATTCGTGGACTCCTAGAAGGGTGAGGGCCTGCTTCTGGGTCAGCCAAACCTGAGCAGAGCACTAAGTCCCACCTCCTACTAGCCCTTTGACCTTGGGCAAGTCACTTAACTGAGCCTGGACTGTTCTGAGGATTAAAGGAGTTAATAAATGCAAAACCCCAGGGCTTTCGGGAGCAGGATTGGTGTTCACAAACAGGAGTCTTACCTATTTGATCCTCAGAGAGCCCAGAGGCAGCCCTTTGGCCACAAGGAGCTTTTCAGCTGCAATTCCCACAGACCCAGGGCTGCTCAGGAACGTTCCCCAACCCTGAAAAAGTACCCTCCTGCTTCGGGCCGGGCGAGGGGCTCTACCAGGCGCCGGAGCAGTGACTGCTCTCCTAGCTCAGGCGCAGAGGCCTGGCCCATGACCTTGGAAGAACCGAGGAGAAAGCTTCACCAAGCGACAGTACTTTTCCACTGCACAGCTCGGCCACCTCAGCTGGCTTTCTGCTGTGCAGACAGGAGGCAAAGTGCGCCAGGCCAGCCCCATCAGGAACCCACCCAAAAGCTCTCTCAGAGATGGGGGTAGGGACATGCAGTCACTGACGGGCAGCAGGAATCCTGGAGAGAGGAGGGGGATCCCGAATGCGCTAGGGGGAGCGTGGAGACCACCAGGGGGGTCAGAGAAATGTGCATTTAGCAAAGCCCTCCGGTACATTTCAAAAGATTCCTACTCCTTAACTTCCCCTCCATCCCCACCCCTCCAATAAGAATGATTAAACCCGTTCCACCGCGCCTGTGCCGGGTCCCGGGCGAAGAGCAGCGCTAGCCGGCGCGGGGGAGGAGAGAGAGGAGGGCGAGGGGAGGGAACAAGAGAGCTAGCGGTCCCGCCCGGTGATGTAGGCAGCCCGGGGAGGTGGAGCCGCGACGCCTGAAGGAGTCCCCACCGCAATCGCGCTCTCGGTCTACCCCTCCGAGCGGCCAGCCGCCAGCCCCAGCTCCGGCGACCTCCCTGCCGCCGCAATTTGGGCGGCGGGGACTGCGGGATCCCCCCCCCCAACCAGTTCGGGCCCGGGGGGCCCCTCCACCACGCCCATCCCCCCTCCCCTCCTCGTTTCCCGGACGGCTGGAGCTACTCCCGGGGGAAGCTGTTCCCGGACGCTCGGCCGCCGCCCCGGCATCTCGGCTGCCAGCCCGGCCGGGCACCGGGTATCTCCGGGCACCGACTGCCTCCGGCGCCGCCCAGCTGCTCGCGACCCCGGGGCCGCGGGCTTCTGCTCGCCCTCCCCTCCCCCCGGCCGCCGGGCAGGACGCCCGTAAGCACCCGGTGCCCCCAGCCCCTTTGGCCGCCGCCGCCGCCGCCGCGATGCTGCCCTGGAGACGCAACAAATTCGTGCTGGTGGAGGACGAGGCCAAGTGCAAGGCGAAGAGCCTGAGTCCGGGACTCGCCTACACGTCCCTACTCTCTAGCTTCCTGCGCTCCTGCCCGGACCTGCTGCCCGACTGGCCGCTGGAGCGCCTGGGCCGCGTGTTCCGCAGCCGGCGCCAGAAAGTGGAGCTCAACAAGGAGGACCCGACCTACACCGTGTGGTACCTGGGCAACGCCGTCACCCTGCACGCCAAGGGCGACGGCTGCACCGACGACGCCGTGGGCAAGATCTGGGCGCGCTGCGGGCCGGGCGGGGGCACCAAGATGAAGCTGACGCTGGGGCCTCACGGCATCCGCATGCAGCCGTGCGAGCGCAGCGCCTCGGGGGGCTCGGGGGGCTCGGGGGGCTCGGGGGGCCGCCGGCCGGCGCACGCCTACCTGCTGCCGCGCATCACCTACTGCACCGCGGACGGGCGCCACCCGCGCGTCTTCGCCTGGGTCTACCGCCACCAGGCGCGCCACAAGGCCGTGGTGCTGCGCTGCCACGCCGTGCTGCTGGCGCGGGCGCACAAGGCGCGCGCCCTGGCCCGCCTGCTCCGCCAGACCGCGCTGGCGGCCTTCAGCGACTTCAAGCGCCTGCAGCGCCAGAGCGACGCTCGCCACGTGCGCCAGCAGCACCTCCGCGCCGGGGGCGCCGCCGCCTCGGTGCCCCGCGCCCCGCTGCGCCGGCTGCTCAACGCCAAGTGCGCCTACCGGCCGCCGGCCGCCGAGCGCGGCCGTGGGGCGCCGCGCCTCAGCAGCATCCAGGAGGAGGACGAGGAGGAGGACGGAGACGCAGAGGAGCGCGAGCGGCCCGAGGTGCTCAGCCTGGCCCGGGAGCTGAGGACGTGCAGCCTGCGGGGCGCCCCGGCACAGCCGGCGCCCGCGCAGCCCCGCCGCTGGAAGGCCGGCCCCAGGGAGCGGGCGGGCCAGGCACGCTGAGAGCGCAGGGGAGGAGGGGGCGGGGGGGGGCGCAGGACTGGTGGCCCCAGCCCCGCGCCGGCCTGACTTCCAGCCTCCAACCCTGGCCCTGCCCGCTTCGGCTCCCCTCTCGTCCCCCGGCCCATGCCTCCCTTGTGGTCTCTGTTGTTGTCTGCCCCGCGTCTCATCCTGGCTCAGGGTGACGCCTGATATGTCCTTGATTATTGGGGGACAAAGGGGAGGAGAGCAGCAGAAGTATTCGACGTTCACCTCTCCCCCACATCCGGAGTTGCTGAGCGCCCTCCATCGTGGAATTGCCCGTAAGCTTTACAACAGGTCTTTGCCCATAGACCACCCTCTCCCTCCCAAAACAACCTCTCCAAAGAAGGGGGAAGAAGTTTCCAGAAATCCAGGAGGATGGCCTTGGACGTTGGCCAGGTGGAAGCCGTGGTCCTGCCGTTGGCCAGTCAAGACTTCCTCCCTGGGATGGGACCAGTTCTGGGCAGGCATTCTTGCAGAGAAAGAATAGTGGCCCCAGAGACCTGAGGCCAGGTCCAAGGTGGGTAGTGAGTCGGCTGCCATACACACAAGGAAGGATTCTCAGGCCCTATGCCTGGCCTCTCTACCCCTTGGAGGATTTCTGGACTTCACTGCTCTGTCTCTGGAGAAGACTGGGCTGGTCCTACCAACCCAAACAACAGGTTAGAGCAAGTAACAGCCCTCTGCTCCAGGCAGCTGCCCAAGACTATGCCCTGGCACCCGGCACCCCCACAAGACTCCACCCACCCCACATCTCTGCAGACAGATGTGTGGGGTTCCCCACTAGGTCTCCAAAGGAGGTAAAGAGAACCTTTGGCAGGTGCTTGAGGACACTGACCACCCAGAAAATGGACACAGGAGGAATACCACCCCCCCCCCCCCCCCCCCTCCCCCCCCCGTCCCCTGAGTCAGGGCTTGTCAGAGCAGGAGGGTCCTGACAGCAGTTGGGTTCTCGTAGCTGGCTGAGGAAGGGGAGTGTGTTCACCCAGCAGAGGGAGTGGGCCCCTGCCCAGGTGTCTCTCAAGAAGGCCACAAAAAGCCCAAAGATCTATGTGTCACCAACTGATCGTTGTAAATAAAGTGGACCTGCTTTTTCATCCTTGTCTCCATGCCTGTGTTTTGTTTGATGCCAGGCCTGCTGGGGACAAAAACATTATCAGAACCCTAAGGGACAGGAGAAGACCCTAGGAAGGGGCCCCCTGTAGCGGCCAGAGCCAACCAGCAGGATTGGTGGGGAGGGGCTACTGCCAGGAAGCTGTTCCCTTAAAGTCAGGGAGGGAGACAGTAGCAGGTGTGACATCACATGTGCCAAGCCTTGGAGGAGTGTCAGCTGTCTGTCTTGGCCTCCCAAAATGTCTGCCTGGGCACTCAGAGGCAAGTGTCTCTGGGACATTTGGCAGGGAGGGGGCCCGGGCCTGGGGACTTCTCATCAGCCTTGCCTCTTTGGGAAGATGCCCGTGTATGTCAGAGCCTGTGGTATGCATCCAGTGTCTCCCCAGTGATGAGGAGGGGGGCAGGTTGTAAAGGAGATGGGGTGGGCAGCCCATTTTTCTTTCAGAGGAGCTAGAGAAATCTGCCCAGACCTTTGTGACAGGGTGAGTCTCGAGCTTGGATATCTTCTTTATTCCTGTGCTGAGCTGGGCACTGATCCCAGACTTCTCCGGAGCCCAGACGAGTGGCCCCTGCAGTGGCCGGCAGTCAGAACTGTTCTGTTTCCTGGAGCTGCTGGAACAGAGGGTACTGCTGCCGCTTCACCTGCAGAGCCCAGGCAGGGTCAGGGTGCCTCGAAGGGGCAGGCTGGACGGGGGAAGAGGGATGACAAGGACCCACCAGCCAGGATGCCCCGCATGTTCATGGCTCCCCTCTTACACATTGCCAGCGGCTTTGTGGGCGTTTCTCCCCATTTGCAAAAGGAGAAGAAGACGCAGGAAGATGTCAGACCTGGGAGAGCAGGATGTGCTGCCAGCGAGGCAGCTGCTGGTGTTTGAGGCAACCTCAGCCGGAAACAAGGTTGCAAGCGCACCCTCTTTAATCAGACTCACGGGGCAGACACTGCCCCGGTGCCTGTCTTGGGACAGGCACTGAGCTAGACACTGGGGGTCCAGGAGTCCCTCCCCTGGGGCTCTTACAGTCTTAGGTGAGATGCACATGATTAAAGGAGTAGGTGCTGCATAATAATTCACAGGCACATTCTCAGCCTCAGCTCCTACTCCACTTTTCTCTGGCAGCCTCCCAAAACAGACACACACACACAACCACCTCCTCCCTCCTTCCCTCCTTTACACTCTACTCTCTATACCTGGGGTTAGAAGACCGGGGTGAGGGGACTCTGCCTTCTTAGCAGCTGTGGGACGTGGGGCAACTCACTCAGCCTCTCTGAGCCTCACCTTTATTAACAGTAAAAATAGGGATAATATCAACCTCACAGGCTAACTGTAAGAATGAAATAGAATCCTACCCGAAAACACTTTGGTAAATAATAAAACACTCAGCACATATGCAGAACAGCCATTTTACCCAGAGGGCCCTTCTCTTTAGATTAGGGCTTCAGGGTGCTTCTCCACCACCCCATCCCGCCCCAGCCCCACAGCAGTGGTCACAAGTTGTCTTCCTGGCCACATCTCCACCTTCTATGTGCAGGGTGGGAGGGAGGAGCCAGGGCAACTTCTGTCCATCTATAGGTTGTGGATGACATAAACCACAGCATAGCACCAGCTGCCACCAGGCTACAGACGGGGATCTCTGGGGGCATCACTGCCACCGAGTGAGGGGGACCACTCCCACCTCCATCTCTGCACTGACCTTGGCTTTCTCCCTGATCTTAGGCACAAGATGGAGAAGAACCTTGAGCCATTGGTCAAGCTGTCTGGTGCCCCTACATTCTCTCTCCCGCCCGCCACAGGCTCCCCACCTGTAAAATGAAAATTGGGTGGGGTGGACCAGTGGTTTTCAAATCGTGTTCCTCTGATTCCCCCGGGGTGCCCAAGGTGCTGCTGTGGGGAGTGATAGGGAGCTGAGATGGGAAGTTCCCCCAACCTGCCTTAACTGAAGCAGCCTAATCTCGTTTCTCTTTGGGGTTTCTGTGATGCCCTTTGAATAAGGGGATCTTCCCGATTTTTCTTTTTTAAGTTGAAATCATTGGGTGACCTGCTACACGCATCCAAGTTCTGTTGGGCTGACGAGGCCTAAGAAGTAACACTGGCGTGTGTCTTCCTGGGACTCCTTGGGCCTTATTTCCCGTTCTCCTGATGCCCCTCCACAGCCACTGGTCTGTGACAAATGTGGCTTGTGCCATAGCCCACAGCTCCCAGGGTCAAGTGGCTGGCCCACCCATTAAGGCCATCCTGACTCCCCCTGTTCCTCTTCCATACGGGGATCCTGTTCCCAGTTCCCCAGACATGGCCATGTGCTCCCACCTCTAGGCTTGGGCCTGTTCTCACTACCGGGGATGTCCTCTTTGGCTACACTTTTTCAAATCCTACCCTCTCTTCGAGGCCCAGCTCAAATCCCACCTCCTCTAAGCTCTCCCTAATGCATACCCCTCCTCCACTCCTGCCAGATCTGGGGGTGATCTCGCCTCTCAAGCTCGCACAGGACGTGGTCCTTATCACGTTACTCCTGGGATTGCTCTTTTTATGTGTGTCTCTCTTAGAAATCCATTTCACTTCCCACCCCCTTCGGTACCTTGACCACAGCGGGGCAAGAGTCGGTGCTCGATACTAATGTGCTGAATGAGTGCATGAATGAGCCAGATGGAAGAGCCATCACGGGATAGGAAACCAAGTGGGTGGAGAAGCGTTCTTTCTGCCAAGCTTCTGCCTGGAGATGCTGAAGAACTATATCCTCAGACGCCCTGTTGAGACGGATGGCTATTCTTGGGGAGAACATCAGAGGCCTGACATGAGGCCACTGGGGGAAACCAAAGCTGCCATCCCCGGGGTCTGCTCCATGCTCCAAAGCCTCAGGACTGGGCCTTCTCGCTCTGTGGGCTAGACCAGTGCCCAGCACAGGGCTGACACTGACGGTACAGAGCAGCTCCTCGTGGGGACCAGCCACCCTCCAGGCATGCTGGCTGGGTAGCAGGAGGATCATGTAGACAGCTGCAGTCTCTAATTTAACACACAGACAGTCAAACCTGGGTTTGGGCGTCAGACACACCCGAATGCCAGCCCCAGAGCTGCCCTTGGACAGCTGTATAACTTTGGGCAGGTTTCTGAAGGTTTCCGGAGCCTTGGTCTTCCATCTGTAAAAACAGCGATAGATGAGTCCAGGGCTTATATGGTTGTTGGGAGGATGAAACAAGGCGCTGCCTTTGGGTAATTTATTTTGTACAGTGCCCAGCGAACTCAGTAAGCAGTAGCTGCAGCTTTCTGTTTATTATTACCAGGCTAGCTGACGCTGCTAACTGACAGTGCTGGGATGAGATCAGGTGCCTGGTCTCTGAGACACTGAACATGTTGCTTGCTCACACGCCAGGGTGGCTCTCCGCCTGAAGTCCCATCATCTCTAAATCATGGGAGGAGATTCAAGTACAGCTTGTCTCATTTTTGTCTCTGGTTGTGCAACTGACATAAGCCCGATCACCTTAACTCTAGATTAGACCTAATAGCTTATGCTTTTTTTGTATATCCTTTTCTTTTTGCCTTAGCACCTGGCACGATGCCAGGCACACAGCAAAGCACGCCGAGGTGAATGAATGAATGGGCGAATAAGTGAATGATTAGCTGCTGCCGGCCTTGGTGCTGACACAAAGCCTTCCCAGCCAAGGTCTTCAGAAAGCTGGGAGGTCATTCCTTTGTGAGTGATGGCTCAGCTTCTCCCCCCCACCCCCACCGCTGCCAGAACCCTGTTTGTCCTTGGCCACAGGCTATGGACACGAGGAAGATGCTGCTGGCTTAGGGACCAGGCGGTCCCCAGGAGAGCACAGCTGGAAAGGATGGAGGGGGCTGACATGCAGATGTCGTGAGTCTCTGAGCCAGAAT